TCTAATTAAAAAATTAATTATTTAATTTTTCTTCAATATATATAAAGTAACAATTAAATTGGTGATGAAGGTGTATCAGGCTTATGCTTTGCTTTAACAAATTAAGCTAATCTCAAAAATTTGATACTTTATCTTAAGTAAAACTAATTTATTTTTTTTGGAGTGTAATATTTTTAAATATAAAAATTAATTTAATTTATTTTATAGTTTTTTATTTGATTTATTTAACTTTTTCTTTTTTATTATTTTTGTGCTTTTTTTATTATATGCTTATTAATTTAACTAACTCATTTTTTCATTTTCAGTTTTTGCTTATTTTATAATTAGTTTATTTCTTATTTTTTCATATTTTTTCTTCATTTTTTCCTTCTAATTAATAATATATTTTTTCTTCAAAATTTAAAAAGTTGCTATTTAATTACTGATGAATGTGTATTAGGTTTAGGCTCTGCTTTAGCAAATTGCACAAATCTCTCAACTTTGGAACTTATTCTTGAGTAAAAACAGTTTACTTATTTTGAAATTTGATATTTTTAATTATAAAATTGAATTTAAAACAATATAACTGCTTTTTATTTAATTCATCATTTTTCCTTTTTTATTCTTCAAATGTTTTTTTTATTTATTAATTTAAAATATAATTTTTAATATAAAAATTTAATTCTATTTATTTTTTAGGAATTCACAATTATTAGTAATTAATAAACCAAAAAAATTGAAAGTAAAAAGAAACTTTTGTAAATTAAAAAGATTAGTTACCTTAGAAATACTTTTTTTATTTCAATAACTCGCGGAATGAAATAAAAAGTTTGAATAAATATAAAATATTTAAATATTATATAATATGTATTATTATTCTTATTTTTGTAATTGGATAATTTAAAATAAATATTGATTGATAGATAGATAGATAGATAGATTTAGTATTATTTTTAAGTTTATGATAATCATATTTTGGTAAGTAAATAAAATTTTATTAAATATAAGAAAATTCAAAAATTAAATTTACTTATATAAATTAATTTTTTAAAAAATTAGCCATGAGTTTTCACCAAAAACTATCAAAGCTTTTAATAATTGCTAGTGTATTACTATGTCTTATTAAATTACATAAATGCTAAGCTTAAATTTTCCAGTTAAATTTTCATTTTAAATATCATTCATCATATTAAGGAATTTTAGGGGTTACAAATTACAACCCCTACATTTTTATTAATTTTTTATTTATTAAACATTTTTTACTTATTTTTTTCTTAGTTCAGGTTCTAAACCTCTTTCGATACCTTTTTTATTATTTTAAATTTTCCTTAATTTTTTAAATAATATTTATTATTCTACTCAATATTTATTTCCTACTACAGAAATAATTATCATAGAATAGCAATATTTGTTTATTTATTTCTTTATTAATCTTCTTTTAAAATTTAAATTGCTAAGTTAAAATGTAAGTTTGAAATAAAAAAATGTAATAAAAGTAAATTAATTAATTTACTAATAAATATGTCAAATAGATAGCTTATTAGAATTAAATTTTATTTTTTATTGTAAAATATAAGATAAAATAGTTTTTTATATAAAACAAATTAATTTCAAGAAAAATGAGAAAATTGAAGGAGTTGTGAAAAATTAATCTTTTAAATTAATATATAAGAAAATAAGTAAGCAGATATTAATGTTATATGCTTATATTGTTAATATATTTGATTAAATAATCAACCAGAGGTTAAGTGAATGTTTTTTGCAAATAAAAGTGTTTATTCTCAATAAATTAAAAATTAATTTAATTTAATTACATTCTTTAATTGATTGTTCATTACGAGTTTTATTTTTGTAAATGACCTTGCAGTCACTCATAAAGAATAATTAAATAGATAAACATAGATTAAGACTGAAATTATTAATTTATCTTAGTAAATATCTTCTTTTTCTTTTTTTGAAGCTTACTAGATTGTTTTATACTCAGAAAATTGCTTTATGTAAAAGATTTATGAGTTAATAATCTTTTATTTAATAGATCTACTCTTTTAATGGTAATATTAAATAAATTTTTCGTGTTTTCTGATAATAAATAATTTGTGATAAAAAATAGGCAATCACAAATATCCTTAATTTTATATTTTCATTATTTCTGCTTTTTTTTGTTTATTTGTTTTTCTATTAGTTGTTTCTGCATTGATAACAAAAGTATTGTTTCTTTGTTTAATTAATTAGATAGATAATCTTCTTAAAATATAATACAAATACATAACACATATTCTTATTAATTAACAAACTAAATAACTTGTAGAATTATAAATTAATATTAAAAACAAGATTGAATATTAAAGATTAAAATGAGGAAGGAAAATAGGCAATCAACTTTAACTGGATCTACTAGTAGTAGCACAGTAGCAGGGTCAACAGGCGCTACTGCTGTCAAAAGGGGATAGGTTACAGCATGTTAGATATGCTAGAAAAAGTTTGGTACATTTATGAAGGAACATTAGTGCAAAAGATGCACTAGAGCTGTTTGTGATGATTGCTCTAAATCGAAATCAAAAGTATTTATTTAGATTGATTGAAAATTTTAGTTATTTTATGGATGGTTTTTTTTTATATAATAAGATAATAGGTTATGAAGTAAAGCCAAATGTTGCACATAGAATTTGCAAATTTTGTAAAGAAGAAAGCGATTTTTAGAGTGAACTTAGAATGAAAGTATTAATTAGATTTTTGAGAAAAACAATATAAAAATATATTTTTGTGTAAATACAAAATTTAGAATAATTTAAGCTTTGGACACGATAGCGAGATTGCAGTTAAGTGGTGTTAAAGTCTGGATTTAATTAGGTAATTGTTTAATCAATTAGCATTTACATCATTAGAGTGATAGTTTATAAAAAGTGTTCCACAAAAAAGAGGAATCTCATTAGGGTATTTCATAAGGTAAAGATAACAGAAATATTACCAAAATACCTAATGTGAGCAGGAATTTAAAATAGAATACTGTCAAAAGCTTATCAGATGAAATTAAAAAAATTAATTCATTTTTAGAAATAATTTAATTTAAATTAATTCAGAGCAAATTGAAGTTTAAAAGATTTGTGATAGGTTTTTAAAGAAAGTTTAATAATAAATAATTGCTTTAAGCTAATTAAAAGATTGATTTATTGATTGATATATAGATAGATAGAAAGATTTATAAATAAATAACCTGATTATTATTTTTTTGAATATTCTATTTTTAAATATAAAAATTATCATATTGAAATATAGTGAGAAGAACAAGATCTAGGATTTGCAGTATTTAAGAGTTCAATTTGAAAATTAGTAAGCGAAGAATATTGCTGTACCTTTTTCTTACAATTAGTTTAGAAGGGATTTGAATTATTCGCATTTAGAGTTTATTCATTATATTTGCATTAAGGAAGGAGAAGAAAAATTAGACTTGTTTATCAAGAATATTATTTAAAAGCTAGCTGAAAAGTTAGGTTGGAAGTTTGTTCCACCTAAATTAGACCACTTAATTTTTTATTTGTTGTCTTTTTGCTCTGACTTTGTTGCTTTTCATATAATTTGCCATTTATATGAAAGAATGCTGCCAGAGTATGCTCTTGAGTACCTCACAAATAGCTCTGATGATAATTTGATTGAGAGCGAAATTTGGAATTCTGCTAGACAGGTTCTGATTGTTTGTATTAGAGATACCTTCAATTTCAATGATGTCGAAACAAAAGCAGTTAATGCATTTATTCTTAACGAAGGTAGAGAGATGATTTCAACTATGATGATTAATGATGTTACTTTCTAGACTTTCTACCATACATTCGAAGAAATGATGAGCGCTACAAAAGTTGGCTTTTATTTAAATATTATTGTGGATTTTTGTCAATTTACAAGATTGAACAACTTTTTATTTGAAAAAATTTATGTTAATCTAAAGAAAATATTTCTCGTATAAATAAATAGTTTGAAGAATGGGAAAAGTCATTCCTTGCGCTAATTAAATACAATTTGAATTCCATCAAAGACCCAAAAATAGACACTAAATATGCCATACTAAGAAACACAAAAATCATGGAAATCAAAAAGATTAAGAAGGATTATGAGAGCTAATTGAAAGATATTTCTTAAAAGATAAATAAAAGAAGTGGGTAAGTAGATTTTTAACAAGGTTTATTTTGAATAGAATTTTTTTAATTTACAGGAGTATAGTTAGATTAGATTCTATTAGTGAAATAGAAAAGCTCAGAGAGTAGTTGGAACATAAAGAAAAAGAGCTTAGTTAGCTAAAAAGCAATACTTTTGAGTTATCTCCCAAAAGCTATTAGGCTAAAGAGCTGATTGGAGAATCTGCAGATGGTGAGTACAATTTTGAAATAGCAGAAAATCAATTTAAAATTAATCAGGAATAATAGCAAAATTTTTTAAATGATCTTAGTAAGCTTGAATAGACTTTGCTTTAATCTTAAGAGAGAGAGGAAGTCCTTAATGCAAAAGTAAAATAGCAAAATGAGAATTTCGATAAAGAAATAAATGAATTAAAAACTCAATTGCAAAGCTTGAAGAGTAAAAGTGAGTTTTAAGAACAAGAGTTATAAAAGTATTAAAATGAAATTTAAGCTAAAAATCAAGAATTTTAGCATTTAAAATAGCAAATTAGCATGGCTGAAGAAAAAGAAAAAACTGTCAAAGATTAAATGGAATAAGACAAGAATAATTATTTAAATTAAATTAATGATTTCAATCAGTAAATAGAGAATTATAAGAAATAAATAGAACTTAATGAGAGTCAAATTCATAATTAGTAAACCAGCAGTAGCTAAAAAGAAGAAGAAATTAACAGATTGTACGAGAATATGAAAAATGAAAAAGAAAAAATATCTTTGGCATTAGAATAGAAGGAGAAAGGCCATATTTTGATTTTAAGTAACATGGAAGAATAGCTAAAGATTAAAGAGAGTTAATTGATTGATGTAAGAAAAATCTAAGAAAGTGAAAAAATTAAGCTCACTGAAATGGTTGAAAAAGTCGAAGAGTTAAAAAAAATACTTTCAGAAAAGAGTTCAAAAGAAATAGAATTGGTGAGGAATCACGAGGAAGCTATTCAAAAAGAAAGAGAAAATTATGAGGTTCTTTTGACAGAAAAGTAAAAGCAATGGGATATTAAAGAAAATAATTTTAATGAATAGATAAAAGAAGTTAATGAAAAAATGTCTAAATTAGAGTAGACTAAGAGTGAAGAAAAAAAGAATTTAACTAATTAGAACAGCTAATTGTAGGCTAGTATTTTATCTTTAGAAAGTAAATTGAAGTCTGAATCTGAAAAGCTTGCTTAATCTGAACAGTAAATTAAAAAACTATAGATGTCCTCCTCAGATTTAATTAACGATTAGAATTCTAAAATAACTGCTTTTGGTTCTTAAGTGGAGGGCTTACTACTTGAAATCGCAGCACTCAAAGAGTAAAATAAAAAGTAAAAAGAACTTGAAATTTAAATTGAAAACTTGTCTTGCTAAAACAAGAAAATGGAAAATGAATTAAATAAAAAAGCTATGAATTTATAACAAGTTGAAGAGTAAGAAAAAGATTTGAAAAAGTAGTTAAAAATTCTTGAAGAAAAAATTCAAGAACATGAAAGCAGCTTTTCAGCTTTGTAGCTAGCAGAAAACGAAAAGTAAGCCTTGCTCAAGTAGGAGATAGCATCTCTTGGTGAAAAAATAAAAGAGATTGAAACTCAATCAGATAAAAGAAAAGAAAAAATTGGAGAGCTAGAAAAGAGCTTAGCTGAAATTTAATAGGTAAAATCAGCTTTGGAAGAATAAATGGTCAAACAGAAGTCTGAGTTTTCATCTTTAGAGTTGGTTCTTTCATAGGAAAGGGAAAAGAATAAGGAAGTATTAGCTAATATGAAAAAATAATCTTAAAAAGAGAAGGAAGAGTTTGAAAATCAAATCAGCTAGCAAAAAGAATAGCATGAAATTAAGCTTAGAGAAACTTTAGAAGCAAATTCAGGAAAAGAATTGTAAGAATAGATTGAGTAAATCAAGGAGCAGTATTAGAAATAAAACAAAGAGTTGAGTGAGAAATGCAACGAATTGAATTTAAAATTAGAAAGCTAAAAATAAGAAAGAGAGAAAGAGGTTACTGAAATGAAGGAATAATTGAATTAGAAGGGTGAATCTATTCATTCTATGATCAAAAAACACGAAGAAGATGTGATAAATTAGAAAAAGCAGTTTGAAAATGAAAAAGAAAAATTAACAAAGTAATTTAATGATGAAAAATCTTAATTAGAAAGTTAGTTATAAGGTAAGGAGACTTAATTTATAGCTTTGTAAAGCTAGTTGAGTTTAGTCTAGTAGGAACTGCAAGAAAAAGAAAAGTAAAAAAAGAACTAAGAGTAAGAGCATTAAAAGATTTGTAGATAGCTTGAGAATACAATTGCTGAAAATAAGGCTTAAATTGAATCAATTAATAAGCAAAATGATGAAAAAATATCTAGTTTATTAGAAGAAAATATTTTGAATGTAAAAAATATTGAAGCAAGATATGTACAAGAAAAAGAAACATTGAATTCTTAATTGAGTGAATAAGATAAACAAATCAAAGTAAAAATTAATCAGATTTAAGAAGAACTGTCAAAAAAAATATCTAGCTTTGAAGAATTAAATTAATAGTTTGTTAGCTTGGAAGAAGAAAAAAACAATTTAAAATAATAAATACTTAGCTTGGAAGAAGAAAAGCAACAATTAGATTTGCAGACAAAGCAGAAGTAATAGGAATTTGAAGAAAAAGAATTAAATAGGGAAAAATAAATAGAAGAAATTAATAAAAATCATGAAATATAGATGTAAAAAATGTAGACAGAGTTAGATTCCAAGGTAGTTTTAATTAATGCTGCAAACGTTTAATTGGTCTAAGCAAAGAGTAAAATTGAAGAATACAAGAATTTGTATTCTTCTCACAAGGCTGATTTAGAAAAGTAAATATAAATAAATGAAGAAAGGGAATAAAGTTTCTTAAACAAAGAAAAAGAATGGAAAGAGAAACTTGATTAAAAAAATTTAACTTTAAGTGCTTTTTATGAAAATTAAAGCCAAATTTCCTAAAAAAACGAAGAAATTCAATAGCAACGTATCAAGCAATATGAACAATAAATGACATAGGTGTAATCAAGATTTGAAAACGATATATAATAATTACAAGCCAAACACAGCGCGGATATTTCTTCTATTGAACAAAAGTTTTAATAAGAAATAAAGCAAATGGAAAGTAAACTAAAGCAACAAGAAATTCTCCACGAATAATTGCTTAAACAATAAAAAGATCAACTTGAATAAGAGCATAACTAGGAAATATAGTCTTTGTAATCAGAAGTGAATTAAAAGGAAGATAAAATAAACTAAAGCTTGACCTAAATTAATCAGTTGTAAGCCTAGATTGATTCTATGAACAATGAAAAGAAAGAAAGCACCAATAAAATTATAGCTTTAGAAAAAGAGTCAGCTCAGCTGAAATAAAAACTCACAGAAATCAAGAACCCTGAAGAAATTCAACATTAAAAAGATGAAGGAGTTCTCAAATAATAATAGCAACAAATTTAGAAGCTAAATGAAGAAATAATTTTAATCAACAATTAAAAAAATTAATATGAATAAGAAATTAGATAGCTTAAATTAACACTTTAAAACAGCATTAAGTCTGCAAATGATTTAGATTAAGAAATTAGTAATTACCAGGCATTCAGAAATTCTTATTCCTCTTAATCAATTCATGAAGCAGAATCTAGCCACAGCTTAAATGTATCACCAACACACATTCCAAAATTAAATATGATGGCTCTAAGCAACAGAGAAACTAATGAATTCATTTCACCCAGAGGACCTGCAAGTGCTAACTCTAAATAAATAGAATTATAACTTCAAGTTAAATCTCTAGAAAATAAAAACAAGGAATTAAAAGAGAGTCTGCACCAATTTAATTAAGTTTAAAAAATTAATACTGAGATGAAAAAACTTCTTGAAGAAAACAGAAAATCAATCAAAGAATTAGAAACTGAACTCTAACTTAAAAAATCTGACAACGAATAAATGAAAACAGAAATTCAGAAGTTGAAAGAAGCTCTGATTGACTTTGAAAGTTTTGAGGAAAAGCTCTTAGAAATGCGCTAAATTGACATGAATCGCTTTGAATAAGTAAGAGACAAAATAGACGATTTAAAAGAAGTTTCATAATCTAAAATAGAACTCGTAAATATTATATAAATGTTTGCTTTGAACTTCAAAAAAGAGTTAGATGACAGAAACGAAAAAATCAAGCAATACTTAAAAAAGATAGAAAAAGTAAGCATTCAATTCAGAGAAATTTAAGAGTAGCATTAAGAAATGGAATAACTTCTACTATCCAATAAAATTGAAATCTCTCATATTGTAGATTAAAATCAAAAAAATTCATAATACCAGTAAAATACTTTGTATAGATCCAACTCATAATCTAGTGATTTTGATAGAAGATCTATTTCATCTGATCTGCCAGAATTCACCATCCCCAACAGAGTAAGACCATCTAATGATCCTAACTTAGCTAGAGACCATAATACCACATGCACAGGAGGTGAGTGCAATATATTTTGAAAAATAAAATCCTTCTTTATTATATATTAAATAAAATTCATATTAATTAGTTTTAACTTTAAATACTTCAAAGAAACTCAACAATCAATATTTTAAAAAGTTAATTAAACTTTTAAACTCTAAAAATAAAAATAAACATATTTATTTATGAATTTAAACAAAATACATACTGTAAATACTTACTAATTAATCGCAAGAAAAAACTTCAAAAATAAATTTAAATAAAAATAGTAAAAATTAATTTTATTGTGCTAGATAAATTTAATACTAATTTCACAACCCCCTTAAATCAAATATATACTTTAGGAGCTTTGTATTTTATTGTAATAAATTAACAAAACATTTAATTGATTAAAAGTGAAAGGATAAAATTAAAGTTAAAAACTTAATCTTATTGATTACTATTAAATAATATTTAAGTAAAACTTTTATTCAAAAATTTTCTCAATTTATTTAGTTTATTTATTTAATCTTCTTTGATTATTGTTAAAAAGTAATTAAGTAAAAACTTTTATTTCAAAATTTTCTCAATTTATATGTATCTGTCTGTAAAGATCTTTACATGAAAATCAAAAATTAATTAATAATTGATTTGATAAATAAAGTAGAAACTTAATTTTCAATACTTTTTATTCAATAAAATAATACTTTCTCAATAGAATATTTAACATACAATATAAATAAAATGGATAAAGCTCATCAAAATACAAAAAAAAAATTAAATTTTGCTTTCTACCTTTAAAAATTAATCAAAGTCACTAAAATAAATTATTATTTTGACATTTTTAACAAAATATTTCAAAGATAAAGTAAGAATCTATTTTTGTTTTTAAAATTTCAATGAAACCTGATGAGAATATCTTTTTTACAAATAAATACTTTTTGATGAGTGTGAATATTTTTTATGATTGAATTCTTGGGAGTGTCAAAATAAAATAAATTCTTCTCATTTGTTTGTTTGTTTGTTTTAGGTAATTAAGTCATACTATCCCAAAAGCTTCAAAAATATTCGAAATCACAAAGATTATCAAGTAATTATGCAAATAGATAAAAAAAAAATAAAAATTTAATTTACTTTTGGATTCGAAATTGTAATGGAAATTTTTAATGTAAGTTTTAGTAAACATTAAAAATTTAATATTATTAATAAATAAATAAATAAATTATTTATTTAATTTAGCTTTTTCATTATTTTTTCTGATTAAATATATAAAAACTTTCTAAAAGCTTCTACAAAGATTGTTTGTCAGCTTTAGATAGAATTTTTGCTTTATCAAATTTAATCTTGTGGATTATATTATTTGTATTATTCAATTAATAAAAAGATTAATTCTCAAAAGATCTATGCTAATTAAGCAGATATTTGAGTCTTTTCATATTTGTTAATATACTAATTAATGTATTTTTTTATTGATTCCCTCTTTTTAACAAACAAAAAAAACCTCAGATTTGATTGTTCGTAAAATTAAAAACTTTAAATAATAAAAACAAAAATTAAAAAACTAATATTAAAAAGCAAAAGGGCTAATTTAGATTTGAAAAAGAAAAGATAAGATGTACTAGCCAGTTTCTTAATAGCTCGTTAAGGCAGCAAGAGGCGTTGCCAAAAAATGTTCTATTTGCAACAAGAAGTTTGAACTCTTCTTGAGAGAACATATTTGTAAGCGTTGTCTAAGACCTGTTTGCAGCGAATGCTCTCCTAAAAAGCTTATTGTAAAATAATTTAACTATTAACAAGAAAATTCAAATATTCAATGAACTCTAAGATCAAAATTTTCAAACTCAACTCATTTAAAAACCAAAAGCAGATTAGATTGCTAAAATTCATTTTGTTTTTTTTAAGTATTTCCAATAAACAAATGTAATTTCATTATTTAAATTTATTAATAGATTGTAGGATACGATTAAGCTCCTAATCAAAAGCACAGAGTTTGTTCTCCTTGCAAGGCAGAAAGCAAGTTCTAAAAGAAGCTTCGTAAAGAAGTAAGCAGATTCTTTCATTTTATTTATTTATTCATTTAAAATTATTTATCCTCATTTAACTCTTAGATAGATTTTTGAATTTAATTTTTACTTAAAATTAGAACAACCTATAATATGGCTCTGTTAGTTAGATTTCTCTTAGATGGCTTCAAAGTTTGAACTTAATCACGTAAAAAAAAAATGTTTATTTTAAATTTAGAAATAGCTGAGCTTGTGATAATAGCTCTTAATATAATTTGGATTTGAAATGTTTTTATATGATTTTTATGTAAAAATAGCACTACAGAAAGTCATAGTGAAATCTAAGATTTGGAAGAGACTTATAAGAAATCTCAATCTAAGGGCTTAATTTCAAACATAGACATTACTCAAATGAAGTAGCAATTGAGTTATTCTTTCAAGCAATTTGCATTTTAAACTCAAGGAAAGTTGACTGATGCAGAAGTCTCCAAGATTTTAGTAAGCTTATTGAATAAATTAGCTTTCAGATTCTAATGGAAGACTCTACCTAATAAATTCCACTTGATAGCCTACTTTGTTTTGTTCCTCACTTCTGAAGCTCTTGCCTACCACATCCTCATCGAAATCTATACAAACTACATCCCAAGCTATGCTATTGAATACATGAGTGAAGCTCCTTCCCCTTCGGAAAGAAGTCTTTCTTAGAACTAACAAACAAAGATTCAAAAGATTTTGAACTACTTGATAAGTCAATACTAAATTGATGACTTCTCCCAAAAGCAAATTTCAAGATTTATTCAATTCATAGGTTTTGACATGCTTTCCGCCTTTTATGTTGACATTCTCAGCTTCGAATGCTTCTTCACTTCCATCGATGACATGATCACCAAAAACACTGTAAATTCATTCAAAATTGTTATTTTTTCTTGATTTTGTTTCCCTCCAAAATGTAATGAATGTAAATGACTAGGATATTACTCAAATTATCATAAACTAATTTATAAAATTAATTAAATGATTCAAATGAAAAAAAATGAGAAAATAAAATAAATGCTGCTCTTCGATACTTTAATTAACTAATTATTTATAAATTTAAATTTTTCTTTTTTTTTGATCATCTGATTAAAGTATCTTTACTGTTAGAATGCAAACTAAAGCTATTTATAATTCTTATGTTTTTATAACAAATCAAATCTTCGCGTCATCAGAAAATCTTTTTATAAAATTTTTGAGAGGAATAATTAATTAATTAATTAATTATTAATCTTTCTCTAGCCATTCAAATTATTTATAAATTTACAATAATTTGTTTGTTTTTATCTCAACTATTGGTTTTTTTGTATTAAATCAAAATAAATCTTTTTATTTTACCAACTTGAGCTTGCTTGTCTTAAATACCACAAATTTATTTTATTTTACTTTAATGTTTATCTAATTACTTTTTATATAAAAAGTACATGGAAGTAGAGAGAATATTTATCATGCTCATTAGATATCATCAAACTTATTTGAGAGATGATTGCATATTTACAGACAATTAACAACATTAGAGAATTCTTATCCACTTAATTCGTAACACTTCAATCAGTGATTTAAAAGAAAAGTACAAAGGAGAAAAGACTTTTGAAGGCAACAGAACTGAAACTGCAGAATCAAAAATGTTCAAGCAAAGCAAGTAAAAAATAATTTATTTTCCTTCATTTAAAAGGAATTTATTTATTTTCATATTTATTAAAAATATCCTTTTTATACTTAAGCTCTATGGTGATGAATTCAACAACTACTGGCGATTTTACTCAAATTACTACAAGTTAGGCCAATAACGAAGAAAGAGCCACTTTGAACGGAAATTATCCTCCTGCTCCTGTTGAGAATGGTTAAAATGCTCAAGTTCCAGCTATGAAAGCTGAAAGATAACCCAGTACTGTAAATGGAGGTGATGTCACTGAATCTGATGACGATGAAGGAGAAACATAATAAATCGAAGTTTAGCAATACAAGAGCTCTGTATACTATAATTAAGTAGAAAAAGATTTATAATCTTAAAATGCTTAGCATGATTTAGATATCGATGTAGCTGAAGAACTTAATGAAGAATTCAAAAAGAGAGAAGAACTTCTTAAGTCTGAAATAGCTACTTACTAGAGATAGCTTATCAAATAAGAAAATTAGATCAAGGAATACAAGCAATAAATTCTAGTTTAATAGAATGAACTATAAATCACTAGAACTGAATTACAAACACTTTAAATTGAAGTCCAAACAATCAGAACTTAATCTTTAGTCAGTTCCTAGTTTGCTAGCTCTTAAATTTAAGGATCTTAGGAGACCCCTACTGCTAATACTAATGCCAATATCAATTAAGTTCAAAGCGAATAATAACAATAAGTTGAGCATCTATTGTATATGTTGACTTAAAAGAATATTGAATGTGAAAATTTAATAAAATCTCAAAGCTAATAGGAAAGCAATTTTAACTTACAAATTGAAGAATTGAGAACCTAATTGCATCAAAAATCCATTGAATTTGAAAATTATGTCGCTAACTAGCAATCAACTATTTCCGGCTCTCAAAATAATGAGGAGATTGAACAAATTAGAGTTTAACTTCAATCTTAATTGCAATAAAAGACTGTTGAGTGTCAAAATTTATCTAACACTTTGGCCTTGACTCAAGAAAAGGTATTAATGATGGAAAAGAACTAAAAGTCTTCAGTTCAACACCCTCATAACAATGCTTGTATCGAATAATTATGGAAAGAACTCTAATCTCTACAATAAAAGATTGAAGAATAGAGATAAGAGAAAGTCTCTCTTGAACAGTAATTGCTTTAAGAAAAAGAGCAACTTATTGTCAACCACTTACGTGAAACTGCTATCTTGAAGCAAGAAGTGTCTGAATTCTAACAAAAGATATTCTAATAAGAAGAAATGAAATCTACTGTAAGCAGTGAATATGTTTAGAAAATCATTGCATTAGAAAAAACCATTTAAGAAAAAGAAGTTTTAATTTAATCTTAAGTCAGCCAAATCTAGGTAATGTAAACAGAAGTTCAAACTCTAAAGTAGACTGAATAATCTTTGAAAAAAGAATTAGTTCAGAAGTCAGAATAATCATCTTCATACTCTGCCACAATTGAGACTCAAATAAAGGAACTTTAATCTAACCTTGAATCCATGCGCTAGACCAACTCCTCTCTCGTTTAAGAACACAAGACTTTGATGGACTTGACTGTTAAAAACAACAACATTATATTTGAAGAATTCAAAATACAAATATAAGAAAATGAGCAAACAATTATCAACTTAAGAACCTAGCTTGAAGAATCTCGCTTGAGAGAAGTCTCATTGAACCAATAAGTCATCCAAATGACTGAGAAGATCGTTCAATTAAATGAACAAATCGCTTAATTGGGTGAGCAAATATAAAGTGTAACTCAAAGTAACTAAGAATTGCAAACAGTCATCACTGAAAAATCTAAAACAATCGAATAGCTTGAATAACAAGTTTTAGAAGACAAAGAAAAGATGGAAAATTACGAAAGAATTTATTAACACAAAGAATAACAAATAGTTGAACTTAGAAATCAATTATTGCTTTAAGAATAAACAAGCTAGTAACTTATAGAAGAAGGAAAGACTGAAATTATTCACTTAAAAGAGTAAATCAGAATTCTAGAAATTACATTAGTTGAAGTTAGATAAGTAGTTGAGTAGAAGACCCTCATTATTGTTTCCCATGAGCAAACAATAAAGTAGCTGAATGATAATATTCAACACTTAACCGAATCCTATTAAACATAGCTCTAAGAATAACAAAACTAATACAACCAACTTCACCAAAGCTATAACCTTTTACAATAAGAAAAGATGGTCATTGAATAAAAAATAATAGAAATTACAAAGGAAGTAGAAACCAAAATCTTAATTATCCATGAAAAAGAATAAATAATCATCTAATTGCAAGAAAAGCTAACCAACAGATGCGAAGAACATGAAAAGATCATCGAAAAACTCAAAAGCAAGGTTAACAGATTGCAAAACGAACTCAATAAATACTTGTCTGTATTCAACTCAGTAAAAACTACAGTCACAAACGTTGAAGAAGATAACATAGACGATGATTGAAAGAAGATAATTAATTCATGATAGATGGATGATAAATTAATATCACTAACTTTTCTCAATCTAAACAACAAAAATAACTATTTTTAATTTGAAAAAGTTATTAAAAAAATATTCTAATAAAAAATAAATAATAATAAATACAATGTGAATGAATTCCTCTCAGAAAAATAATATAAAAATTAACAGGATATTTAATTTAATAGCTTCTACAAAAATAAATAAATAAATTTATCTTTTATCTTCAAATAAATAAATAAATAACTTATAAAATGTAAACTTAAATATATGAATACATATATATATACCTACCTATCAATCTATTATTATTATATTTATCAATGAAATTAATTAATTTTTTACTGCATTAATAAATAAATAAATAAATAAATTATTATAAGAAATACCTATTATTTTTTTATTTTTAATTTTAAAATGTAAAGATTTAATATAATTTTCAATTTTTAAATATGTTTAAATTTGATGATTTTTTAAAAGTAGAGGTTACCTCATTCGAAAATTATAAGGTATTTTTTGATATTAGATAAGAAATAAATAATCGATTTAATTTTTTATTTATGAATAATCATTTAAAAAATTGTAAACGCAGATAATAATAATTTAGAGCAAATAATTTATTTGTGATTGCTTTTTTATGGATAATATCATAATTTTAAATAGAGTGGTATTTAAAAAGGTAATAAACTAAATTAATAGTTAACATATTTTCTCCCATAAATCAACCAAATAATGAAAAATAAATTAATTAATATTTTTTTAAGCTCTAATTTTAACAATTTTGTAAATTAATAACATTGATTTTTCTTATTATCTTTTTATCGCAAACAAATTTAATCTAAAAAAATTGAATAAATAGTTAAATAAGCAATCTAATTGGATAAAATACTTTTCCTTTGAAATAAGTTTACTGATTTTTTATCTAATTAGCTAATTATTACGAAATAAATTGGTGCAAGATATGCAAATTATTTAACAAAAATGCTATAATAATATTAAACTTTTTCAGAATTATCTTCAAATAAAAATTAAAGATATGAATCCCATTTTTTTAATAGTAAGGTTTTGTACAGCAAAAATTGAGAATTTCATTAGTTAATTATTTTATTAAATAGATACTTTTTAATTGCTTACAAATTAATTAAATATTTAAAAAACACACAATTTATTTTGAAGAAATATTTAATTACAAAATTATGGGTGTGATAGTATAAATAATAAATATACAAGAAAGTGTTTAAAAATAAATAGAATAAATATTTTTAATTAATTAAATAAGATTTTCTTTTTAAAAATTATAAATTTATAGTTTAATTTTTTAAATGGTTGGAAAGTAAATAATTAAGTAAGAAAAGATGTTTATGAGAATTTTGGTTAAAATTGAAGAAAGATTCAAATTATTCTAAATTCTAATGTGAAAGATAAAAAGGTTATAGTTTTAAATATATCCAAAGGATAGTGAATTAATTCTGATAATTTTGATGACTTTTTGTTTTTCTTTAAGATTTAAAGTGAGAAAATAATTGTTTTCCTATATTGTTGGTTGTCCGTCCAAACAAATTTTAATCAGAAGATTTTGTTTTGTTTTTTTTGATTGATTAATTGAGATATTTTTGATTAATTATTTTTAATGTGGCTCTTATCAAAGTTTTTATGTTTAGAATGAATATAAATCAATCAATCAGACTTAATTAAATTTGAACAAAACCAAAGAAAGATACTTCTATAAAAATAATAAATAATTAGAAAAAAAAGCTGAAGAATTACATTGAATTTCATTGAAAATAAATAAATAAATAATCAATATTTTTGTTAGTTAGCTCTAATAAGTCACAAAAGCACACAAAACAGATCAAAAAAAATCTTAAATAAGCAGAATTTAAATAGATCATGGGAAAGAATACATAAAATTTAGACAAAGCTACAATAGCTTAGCATCTTTTTGAAAATAGCTTTGGATAGATAAAGAGCTGCACAACTTGCTGCAGAAAATTTGGTTTATTCCTCAGGGAATCCAAGTGCTACAAATGCCATAGAAGCACATGCAATGATTGTCTATTGGAAAAGCAAAAGGTATATTTTTGACTTATTTTTAACGACAAAAAATTTATTTGATTTCTATGTTTCTTCATAATAAATCTTCCTATATGCAAATGATTTGATTTTTTTAATTATCAACAGATAGTTTATGTAAAGAGCAAAAAAATATTTGAAAATGACAGGAAAAAGATATGTCAAGTATGTAGTTAAGAATTGAAGAATTATGCAGAAAATTACAAAAGCAAAGTAAATAATTAATTTGGATTTCGTTTTAGATTTCGTGAATATTTTCTTGATTATTCTCTACGTGAGTTATCAAGCAAGAAAATAATTATATAAATTTTTATTTAACAAGTATAATGAATAAATCTATATTAAAAATAAAACGATATATAGGTAGTAGGATTTTGTTAGAATTCTCCAGTAGCAATTTAATGGATTAAGACATTAAACCTTATCAAGTAATTAATTTCTTTAAATTGAAATTAACCAATAAAAAAACTTAAGAAAATACTACTTTAATTAACTATTGAAAGCTACTCTAAAATTATAAATTGATTAACTTATATCTATATTTAAACTTATAAAAATAAACAAGATGAAACATTTTTAAAATCTTTTTTAACTTTTATAATAAAAGCCAAAATGAAAATAGCACCAACCCTGAAGAAGCAAACACTATTGAGAGTATAGAGAAGAAATACTAATAAGTTTATGAAAAGTAGTTAGTAAAGCAAACTGATGTTAATTATAAAGGATTCATGCTTTCAAAGGTGAATTACTCATTTTTAACTCACCTTTACTATTCTACAAAAGGAATTAGCTTTGAGGAGATATAAATTACTCTTTGTAGAATTATTAACAAGTTAGCCTTCCATTACAAGTGGGAAAAGACTCCTATCAAAATAGATGTTTTTATTATGTATTTGCTATGCTTTTCTTCAGAAGCTGTAGCTTATGCTATTTTTACTCATCTTTATGAAAATGTCTTGCCAAAATATATAGTTGAATTCATGAATTTCAAGTCACAACAAGACTAAAAAGAACAAGTAGCATAAATTGCTTTCTTTTAGAGTGTCATTAAAGCTAATCATGAATTAAATGACTAACAAATATAACATGTTACTAACTTTTTAAAAAAATTCTCTATCGACATGCTTTCTTCCTTTTTTATCAATGTCCTCAGCTTTGAGTTTTCCTTTGAAGCTCTTGATCTCATGATTAAAACACAAAACGTAAAATCAATTTCTTTAAAGTTTAGTAAAAAATAATTAATTTATCTTTTTTAAACTTAGTTCAAAAAAGTTGAAAACCTACTAATCGTTATGATTTTAGACAACATTTAGCACATAAAAGAAATATCATCAGCAAACTATGACACAGTTTATAATTACTTTTGCAGAATTATTGAGTTTAAAAATATATCTGAAAGAGTTATCAATTATCCTACATAAGAGGGTAGCAATATGTCTAAGAGCACTTCTCATCATAAGTAACCTTATTTTATTTATTTATTTTTAATGCATATTCTTATAAATATTTAATTAATTTTTATAGGGAAGAAGTTAATACAAATAATAAATAAAATTTGTAAGAGCATAAGCTTCATACTGCATAGTTTTAATAGAACTATGAAGAATTAATGATGAGTCCTAATTTTAATTTACTGATTGGAAACAGCAACTTTTAGAATGAGTCTACTATTGGATTCCATGCTGAAAACGATGATGATGAGGATACAAGTCCTTAAAGCAATCGCCATTAAGACAATTACTAAAAAGACAATGAAAATCATCAACAATAATAAAAATACACATAAGGCGTAAAATTACCAACTCTATAAAACTTTGATAATGTTGAGTCATCAAATCGTCTCTCCAATTAAGAGCATAACCAAGAAGTCATTTAAAATTATCAAGATGAACCTGAAGAGGCTGTCAAAAGATCAAGACAATCAGCTTAAGGTTAGACAGAGCTGCTTATTAAAGATTTATAAATAGAAAGACAAACACTCACATCTGAGAATGAAAAGCTGAAAAAGGAGATTGAGTAAAAAAATCAACTTATGGAGTAATAAAAAGCATTCCATGAATAGGAAGTACAATCTTTGTAGAACGAGATCAATTTGCTAACTCAGAATACATCTTCCAATCCTTACAAAAAATTAGTAGAAGAATATAAAGCTTTACTCAACGAAGCTAAATAGGCTTATGAGGAGCTATATTAAGAGAAGTAAGAAGTAGAATTGCAATTAGTAAGTGAAAAGGAAGAAATTCTTGTTTAATCTGTTAGAGATAAGGCTATGCTGATGAATGAAATACAAGAAATAGAAGCAAAGAATTGCTCTTTGTTGGAATAAGAATAAAATGCAGATAATGCGCAAAAAGTAGAAATAAAGGAATTAAAAGCAACTATAGAGCAAATGACCTTGGAGATTTTAACTTTTAAAACTGAAATTTAAATGCTTAAAGAAGAGTAGACAATAAATATTGAGAAACTATAAAAGAATCAGGCTATCTTAAATGAGTTTTCTAGTTAAAATAAAGAAAAAGTAGAAAAAGAGGAAGACAAATTGAGAAGCTTGCAAGAGATAATTGATAATTTGTAGAGAAAACTCACACAAAATAATCAAGAACACAAAGAAGAAATACAAAAGATATATGAAAGAGATAACTTGGTATTTGATGAGCTCAGAACTCAAACTAAAGAATATGAATAAAGCATTACAGAATTAACTTAGCAATTAGAAGATGCTAATTAAAAGTTAATTCTTGAAAAGCAGCTTCACGAAACTAAGATTTTGACCTTGAATTAGCAACAAGAAGTAGAGAAGATGCAACTCAAGTCTGATTATGAACAATAAAAATCTGAATTGATTTAGCAACACAATTAAACAGCTTAAAGATTATAGAAAGAAATCGAATCGCTTAATTAGTAAATGACTTAAATGGCTTAAGAATTGAAGTAGTAACATGAACAGGAAAAGCAGGTTTTGATAGATTAGCACAATCGTGCAATTTAAGATAAAAATTAAGAAATTTAAGTTCTTGAATAAAGAATTTAAGAGCTTTTAGTTTAATTGGAAAAGCAGAAAGCTTAATTGCAAATGCAGTTTGAAGAAGAGAAAAGAATTTTGAATCAAGAAATGCAATAAAAAATTGATGAATTAAATCAAAGACTTGTTTAATAAAATCATGAAAACGAATAAGAAAGATAAAATTTAAGAAACTTGTTCGAACAAGAAAAAGTTTAAATTAACCAACTCCATGAATAACATATTAAAGAAAAATAAGATGAGATTTCTTAAATAAATATAAGAATAGCTAAGATTATGGAAGATATTGAATCTATGAAAATGGCTCATTAGCAAGAATTAAGTGTAAAATAAGATGAAATAGAATCACTTAAATCACAACTTGAATAAAAGAAAACAACTATTTAAAGCCAACAAAATGAAATAGAATTTTTAAAATCAAAGTAAACTGATTTGGAGCAAAAATTCATTGAAAATAATAACATTATGTCTTCTCTACAAATAACTTTGCTAGAAAAAAATGATGATCTAGAAAGATTAGAAAAATAAATTAATAAAAAGGAGTAAATAATTACAGACTTGAAGTAAGAACTTGAAATCTATAAAAATTAAGCTTCTAAATATGATGAAAAATTAATTCAAACTATGTAAGAAAAAATTCAAAACTAAGAATAAGAGATTTCCAAGCTTAAATTAATAGCTTAAGACCATTCAAATTGTGAAGAAATTATTAAAAAGCTAAACGAATAACTAGAAAAGAGCAAGCAAAAGCTTAAAACCAAAGTTTAGGAGCTGATGGTATTCTAAAATATCTTTAACACCGTCAAAAAAACAGTCTCTGAAACAAAATCATCAGAGAACCATGATGATGATGATATTTGATTTTAAAATACTAAGTTAGTTATTGATTAAAAAATGTATTGAATTATATAAAATAAATTATAAATAAATAATAAAACCACAAACAAACAAACAAATCAGTTAAATCTTAATCTATCTCTTATTTAGAATACATAATATCAAAAATATAAATGCATATATATATATTTATTTCAAACTTTATATCTTGTAATTTAATTGCAAATTCATTCTATTTTTTAATAATAAAACAACAAATCAATTAATTATATCTTAACCTACTAATTAATTTAACAAATCATCTAAAATATAAATGTTAATTTATTTCAAACTTCATTTTAATTGTAAAATCATTGAACTTTTTAATAAGAAAATCACAAATCAATTAAATTTTAATCTTCTTATTTAGCATAATATCAAAAATATAAAAAATTAACATTTATTTCAAACTTTATATCTTGTAATTTAATTGTAAATCATTCTGTTTTTAAGGAATAAAACCACAAATAAATTATAACTTAATCTTATTATTTTAGCATAATATCAAAAATATAAATGCATATTTATTTCAAACTTTATATCTAATAATTTAATTTTAAAATCATTCTATTTTTAAAACCAAAAATCAATTATAACTTAATCTTATTATTTTAGCATATTATCAAAAATACAAAAAATGAATATTTATTTCAAACTTAAAATCTTGCTATTTAATTGTAAAATCATTCTATTTTTAAGGAATAATACCACAAATCAATTATAACTTAATCTTTTTAGTTTAGTATAATATCAAAAATATAAATGCATATTTATTTCAAACTTTTAGATCTTTTAATTTATTTGAAATTTTAAAATAAATTTTACAACATTATGATAATATTTTTTTTATTTAAAGTAAAAAGAAATAATTATTATATTGAATGACTAAAGACAAACGATTAAATCATTTGTAGTTCTAGAAATAAATAGTATTTGTGTCTAACAATAAATTTTACCAATAATTTTTATTTTTTTTAATCATTTGAATTTTAAAAAACACTTCTTAAAATTATTGAATCTCACATAAAATAATTGAATCACACATATAATTAATTCAATAAATATTTTATTGACATTTCATTATTAAAAATGAATAATTTTAAAATATAATGATTTTGCAGTTGAATTTCAAATTAGATGTTGAAAAAAGGAAGATAAACTCTTATAAATATTCATGAAGTAAATATTAAAGAAATGAATAGTCATGTTTTGTATAATATTTGTATATATTTGATTGAATATTTAATATCTATTTATCTCTTTATTTATTTATTTCTTTTAAATTAAATAAATTTTTTGTAAATTTGCCAAATAAATTTTAGATCTACCTACTTGCATTGATTTGCAGCAGATCATAAAACAATAAATTTTATTTATCATTAAAATTGTAATAAATCATCTATCTATCTTTTTTGTGCATGCTATAATCTAACATTTAAATTTGTATTAATTTTGTAATATGTTTATTTAAAATTTGTATTGCAAACTGTGTTATTAAAACAATGAATTGTTTAATTTTTTATGTTAAAAATTAATTATGCTTTATATATGAAAAAGAATTAGAAATGTTATTTTATTTTTTTATAATTTATTTTTTGTAAGTTGGTTGGAATGAATAAATGTATCGCTCTCCGTCTGAAGAAAAAACTATGAAGAAGTTTCATCTCTAAACAAGAGTGGATTTCTTTTGGACTTGAAAAATGGAATGCATAAATGAATTATGCAGTCCAGGCTAAAGGTCCTTATTTTAATTATTTATTTAAATAAATATTTTTTTGTTTCTTTTTTTATGTATAATTTTTTTGAGTTTATGATTTTTTTATTGAATTATAAAATATAAAAATTGAGAAAGGATTATTGACAATATAAAGCAAATATATTCATCCTATCTTATTTAAATGTATCTTCTGATTTCTACTAAATTAATTTAGGTTTTTTATTTTTACCTTCTTGTAAACTGATCAATTTATAAGCAATTTTAATGTTAATTTATAATTAATTAATTCTAAATTCTACTATAACAACTACACACACATGGAATAATATTGATTTTACATTTTATTATTTACACTCATAATTTGCGGACTACTACTATTTCTCTTTTGTTTCCTTTTTTGTTGTTTACTATTTCAAGAGATTCTAGTTGCAATTTACCGCTATGGTTTGTTTGCAAATACTATTTAAATTCAGGCATGGACCCTCCTACTCCAAAGTAATAAAGCTTATTAGCTAACAAACAGATTCCATTGGGCTTCATTAATTTGTATATTAAATTTGTAACTTTTTCATAGTTTGCTTGATTGTATATAACTTCAGAAAGCATTAATATGTCAAATTAGTTTTCGTATTAAACAATTTTGTTTTCCAAGAAGCCAACTTCGTTTATTTACTAAGCTATCTTGTTTTCTAAGTTATTCCATTCGCCTGAGAGATAAATGAGTCTTTCTTACACATTTGGCACTTTGTTTAATATAATATTAAGTCTCACAGCAATGCTGAGCACTTCATAATTGTAATCTTAAAAAAGGACTTGCTTAGCTCCTTGCTGCATAGCATATATTCCCAAAAGTCCATGTCCACAGCCAAGGTCCATTACAGTTTTTCCTTGGAAGTCAAAGTTATTCTTGTGCAAGTAGCTTAGAAGATCAATTGTACATTCCCATACTTTAAATCCACCCTCGTAAATATCTTTGATTATATCTTCTTTTTCTGTCAACTTAAAAGGCAAGTCTGCGTGTTATAATATAGTGAAAATATTTTAAACATATAAAATATCTCTATTTTCTCCAATTTTTACAGCTTTGCTCTCCACATTTTATAAAAACTATTCTTATTTGCTTTTAAGATCATCACAGTTGCTATTTTAACTTGATTAATGTTAGTCTTCACAGTCCATTTTACAATTTTAAGGAACAAATAAATAATATATGCACTTTTATATTAAATATAGATTTAGTTTAATATTTTTAGGTCATCGAAAGAATAAGAACAATGCATGATAAATAAGTAGATAAATAAATAAATAAATAAATTCAATTATGTTCAATAAAAAAAATTATTACATTTTACACAAAAATAATTTTTTAATTCTCAGTTAGAATGAATTAAAAAAACTACATCAACTAAAAAATATTTTATATTTATAGAATTTATTTAAAGTTCAATCAAACTTATTTTATATTTTTAATTTCATATCATTCATTCATTCATTTATTTTTAGGATATCAAACCAAATTTATTTTATTTTAATAAATTCAAAGAAATGATTTTTCAAAAATAAATTTATTTATTTAAAAAAACCATATTAACTAACTTATTTACAAGATTTTATATAATGTTGAAATGTTAGATAGATCAGCCTAAATTGTATTAACCAATTAGTTGAATAGTCGAAAAATCAATATCATTCTAAAAAAAAATTTTTTCTTTGGGTGTTAATTAATGAGGATTAATAGTATATTAAATTTTATAAAATACCTAATTATATTTCGCATCAAATTATTTCTAATAAAAAAATATTTTTAAAATAATAAAAAATTTAAATTTTAAAATACTTTAATTTTATTTCAAGTAAAAAAGTAAAAGCTAAAACAAATACAAAAGTAAAGTAAGTAAGTAAATAAATAAATTAATTAATTCAATATAACAATTTAGCAAGCTGAAATAATAAAAATAAAAGAATTTGTTCAATTATTTTAGAAAGCTAAACAAAGCTGATGAAATAAATAAATTTAATATAGTAAATAAATGAATAATGAATTATATTTTTAAATGACTACTATTATATTATTAAATGAATTAAGTTACTAAACATTATTAAATGTGAAAAAAATGAAAATTAATCTTAAATAAAATGACTCAATATTAATAAAAATCCTCAAAGAGAAAACAAAATTGGAGAAGGGTTCATTTTGCATCCACTAATTTATGATTTATTTAATATAATAACATTTGTAAAATCAAATATTTCAAATTTTGATTAAAGTAATGATTATAATTAATACTTATATTTTTAGATAATTTTACAGCAGCTGAATATCTGTAATAATAACAAGGATAAGAAAGATTAATTTTTAAAAGTTGTTCATAAGTAAAACAAATCAATTGCTAAAATGAAGAATTTAAAAATGGGTTTATTTTGTTTGAATATCTAATATTTACTAATTGGATATCACTTATAGGCTGCTCTATCTAGTATAATAAAATCATTTATTTTCGAATATAATTATTTAATTTTATAATAAGAGGAATTACTAATTTAAGAGGAATTTCAAAATCCTTAAATTACTCCATAAGATGTAAGTGGATGGTTGGTAAATAATATCACAACATGCTAATAAAGTAATTTCTTAGAATATAATGGATAGGTTTTTGGAGTTTTTTCTAATGAGACACCTTCAAACAACAAAACTTATTCTAATTTACCTCCTCATTGGAGTGCTTTAGTAAGGTTAGATTTGATGTTATATGGATGTGTAAATTCTCAATTAGGTGATATTGTTGGAATTACTATCGACTCAAATAGCATCTAAGAATATTAAAAATACTATACCGAGGGTAGTCCAATTTGTTCAAATAATACATAATAGGGCAGAAATTGCTAAGATATTGTTTTTCCATATCAAAAGAATGTTACTCACACAGCTAGTTAACTAAAAATAGTTATTGATTCTAAATTTTTTGGAGAAATTAATAAAGTAAACTATAAAGGTTATGCATTTAAACATGTTTCTATTTTTATTGATACATGCTATGATACTTGTCAAATCTGTAATGGTCCATCTCCAGTAAATAAATATCAATTAATCTACTTTAATTAATAAAACCAAAACTCTTTAAACTATTTTTGAAAGTATTGATTTACATTTACTGCACTTGAATACAAAATTTTAGTATTTATAAATGAAATTATAAGAGCAAATCAAATCAAATTTTAACCATACAAAAAAATAAAATGCTCCTTGTTAATTTTAAATTGAAATTCTTTATATTAATGAATTTATTTTATTATTTGCAGAAGAATTGCTCATCTTGTATTTAAAATGCAAATTTTATAGATGGTGTTTGTACTTGCGCTAATTAATTTTTTGCTCACAAATTTTAGTGTGTTCAGACTTGTCCTGATGGTTTTATTGGAAATGATGCAACTAAAATATGTGAGCAATCTAAATGCTAAAACAGCTGTAAAAGTTGTGTAAATTAATCTTGCACTATTTGCAATACTCCATATAAATTAATGAATGGAGAGTGCTTTCTTTAGTGCCCTAATTATTCCTCTCAAAAAGGAGATTCTTGTGTGGACAAAATCTCAAATTTTAATTGTATGTTTTTTTTATTTTTTACATTTAATTGAGATTTCATCTTTAATGATAAAAATTAAAATAAATAGATGGGGGATACATTCTTAAAGGGCTTTACTCTTCCGTATTCGGTGATAGCGAAATATAAGGCTAGGGTTTAACACTTTTAAATAATGGTGGTGCAACTTTTAGTAGCTGCTCAGGTGAAAGATATTTAGGTGGATGGAATATTGCAGGAAAAGACTCACAAATAAGATTTGAAAGTTAAATCACGTAATTCATTTTAAATTTTATTTATCCTTGGATTAATTTTATTTTATAAGTAAACCTCATTGGTCAATAAGGATAGGCTTCAAGTATATAATGATAGATAAATGGTAGAGTAATGAATTTATCTAAATTATTTTAAACGATATGTAGATACTTTCTAATATCACTAAAGATTCAGGTTCCTCATCAGGAGGTAATATTTGTGGTAACTCTACTGCAGATTCAATTGGAATTTATGACATTACTATAGCATAAACTTATTCACGTTTTTCTATTATAATAAATTCTACAATTCAAGATTCAAAACTTGTTGAAACTTCTTTCGGAATAAGAGAGATGTATATCTTAGTATATTATGTAACAAAATTTTTATTTCTTTCTTTCTGTTTTTCATTAAAAATTTTATAATCTACCATAAAAGTGTCAAGAAGGTTGTCTTGAATGTGATTAAACAGGATGCACAAAATGCTCTTAAGGTACTTATTTATATTAACATAACTGCTAATTAAATTGTCCGACAGATCTTGGATATTGGGCCAATAGTTAAACAAACACTTGTGATTCTTGTTAAGGAAATTGCTTAACATGCAATGGATCTGGTATATTTTTAATTTATTAAATTCGTTAAAATTTTTATTAATTTATATTTTTATCTCTGCAGCAACTGCATGTCTTAAGTGCAAAACAGATACATATTTATTTAATTAAGCGTGCTCAAAAACTTGTCCAGATAAATATATTCCAAATTAAAATACACTAGTATGTGATTAGTGTCATTAGAGCTGTAAAACATGCAAATACCCAAGTAAATAAAAAAAAAAAAATTAAAAAAAACTTTTACAAAATTAAAAAGATGATGAAAATGAATGCACTTCTTGCGAAAGTCTTCTATATTTAAATGGTTCTTAATGTGTAGATAAATGTCCTGATAAAACGTATTTAAAAACAAGTAAATTTTATAAAAAATGAATTTTAAATTTTTAATTACTCATTTATTTAATAAAAAAGATGGAAATAAATGTTAATCTTGCTATTCTACTTGTTTAAAATGTACTGGATAGTTTTAAAACTAATGTCTAAGATGCATTAAGAGTTATTTTTTTTATAAAGGAGAATGCTTAAAATAATGCCCAATAAGCACATATCCACAAAAAATGTGAAAATCTTGATAATAAAAGTATTAATTAATTACTTTCTAAAATAATATTATTGAGCTTCCTTAACCTTTAAACATTCTGATAGTTTTACTCAATAATAAATTATTAGCTGAAATCCAAAAAGTTTAGTATTATTATTTATCTTAAGACGAGTACTTACTTACTTACAAGAGATACAAAATCTATCTAAAGAAAAAACATATTTTTAAAAATTCTTGTTTAATAAATAAATAATTTTTTAGTATTAAATGACCTACTTAAAACAATAAATAAGTTTTTGATTTTCGAATATTTTAATTTAAGTCTTTTGTTAAAGTCATATACATACATACATACATACATACATACATACATACATACATACATGCATACAATTATTAAGTTAGAAGTTAAAAAATAATTAGATTTGATAAAAAATTAACATTATGATTTAATGGAAATAAATATAATTTCTAAAATAAAATATTTATTTAAAACTAAAAAAATAAAACTTATTTGTTGTTCATAAAAATATAATTAATTATTCTCATCAAATATTTCTATTTATGTTTCTTTCATCTATCTATCTATCAATCAATCAATCAATCCATCCATCCATCCATCCATCCATCCATCCATCCATCCATCCATCCATCCATCCATCCATCCATCCATCCATCCATTTATCATGTTTTCAATCATTTCGATTAATGATTATTATTAAGAAATTAAAATTTATTTTAAATAGACTAATTAGTAGATAGATATGATTAATGAATGAAAATTACTAATTTATTTTTGTTTGAAATTGCTTAATTAATATTGAAAAACTTACTATATTTTTATTTTTACTTTTTCTAGAATTTCAAAATTACATTAATTTTGTAATAACAGAATTTTAATGTAATAATAAGCTTGATAGGATACTCATTCTTGCTTTAAAATCAGTATACAAAGTTTTAATTAATTATAGTACAAAGGCGATTGAAACTAATACTATTTATTTTTTTGCTTTGTGGTGATTTTTATGAGTTAACTTAAATTTTGATATTGTCTTTGGAAAACCATGAAATTAATTAATTTTAGTAGCTTGTTTTTTTTAAAAAGTTATTAAATAGAAAGAATTATACTATAATTGATTTAGGGCAGGATTTGTTGTTTATTTTATTTTAAAATCAATAATTATAAATGGATGATCCTCAATAAGATGTTGACGCTTAGACTATTTTCATAAAAAAGAAGCTATTTTCATCTGCATTTGGCTCACCTGTTAGCTAGAGAAATAGCTTGGTCTAATTTTATTCTATTTCACAACAAAATTATCAATAGAATAATTAGATGGATACAATAAGATAGCTTTTTAACAGGCCTGCAGAGGCGATACTAGAAAAGTTCAATCAGAAGAAGTTGGGATCAATTAGCATAATTAAAAGAGATTCTGTTTATAAAGTAAATAGCTCCGCTGCAAATGATTTTTCTAAGGACTACTCAATAGAAATCAGCAAAAATAATATTTTTCCTTCACCTGACAATAATTATTTAGAAATGATACTGTTAAAATAACCATAATAAAGAAAGATAAAAGAACTTGAATTTGTATAGGAATGTTTGAAATAGCTAGAAATATTTTAAAGCTGGCACGAAAATCAATCCATGCAATGCTCAGATTCCGCTACTATAGAGCAGCAGCTTGAAGAAGAATACTAAAACTTACTTATATATAAGTACATTAATTATCGCTCTTATACCAAATACGAATGTATTTTCAACTAAGACGAGCCCTCAAGAGAATGCTTTACTATATTTAAAGGATAAGCTTTAGTTTTACAAAAGGCTCACTCAAAGAAAGATTAAAAATCAGAGTTTTAAATTTTATAAATTCTTCACCTATATGATATCAGCAGAGAAGAGTATGACAAAATAAGTGAGTTATTTCCGCATCAAATAATCACAGGCAAAATAAGTAGAATTTTTAAAAATAAATTTAATGATGAACAAAAGATAAAAAATACTTTATGAAATTCAATTAATTTAAAATTATTTTAAAAATAATGCATTAGAGGAAGGAAGATTGTTTGGTGAAATCGAGCTTTATTTTAAGGAACCTAGAGCAATGACTGTTTTATGCATTTCAGATCATATGGGTGTTGGATACTTTGATTTAAAATCTTTTAAATTAACTCTGCAGGCTTAAGTTAATAGACAAAAAGATATGCTCTTAGAATTCTTTAAAAAAATGTCTTTATTTAAAGGTGTCCAAGAGAACTATTTGAAAATATTAGTTTCTAAATGTGAGGTAGTTAAAAAGAATATTAAAGCATTAGTTTACAAACAAAATGATCCAATAGATTATGTATATTTTATCATAAGTGGGGAAGTAGAATTAACACATGTTGTTAATAGTGTTAAACTTAACAATCTATCAAAGTCCAGAGATAATTCTACTGATAAAGCCATGAAATCATTTGAAAAATCCTACCACTAAGTTTAAAATTAGGAATCTGAAGATTTCTATGATATTGAGAAAGATATCATAGCCAATGTTAAGGAGGCAATTTAGCTTAACATGTTTTACAAGCCTTAGAAAAGAATCATATAAAATAATACAAACAATTTGGATAATTAGATAGAAAAGCATTTAAAGCAGCTGCAGTATTTAGCAGAAGAGAAATAATATAATTACATTAATGCGAAGAATAACACCAAAAGTAAAATATCTACAATTCTAGGTTAATATGAAATATTTGGTGAACAACTTGAAGACTATGAAAAAAGAAACAACACAGCTAAAATTATAAGCTCTTCAGTCAAATTAGCAAGGATAAAAAGCTCAGTATTTTTTGACATAATTGTCAATTAATTTTCAAAGCTCTACCCATAAATTGATATCATAAAAGCCCTGCAAATAAAAAACAAATAATTGTAAATAATTTTAATTCTTAAAAAAAACTTTTAATTTGAGTTAAAAATTTATTTTTATTTAAATTTATGAAATTTATTTATTAAGCTAAAAGCATAAAGAACAAAAGATGATACCAAGAGATTAGATTTTAGTTATGATTTAAACACAGTAAAAAATAGAAATTTAAAATGATTAATATAAAAAGTATGAAGCAGAAGTTTCAAGCACTTCTCTACAGGCTGTGTTGGAAAATATATTTTAATAAAAAAAGCTATCAACGAATAAGAAAAAAAAGGAAATTAAAAATGATAAAAATAATATGAATAATATGTGCTAGTAGTAGGATAATAACTATTCTAGTTAAAAAAATTTTAGAACAAGGGTTTTAAGCAGCCATAATTAATAAGATAGTGACTAAGATTCATTAAATCCAAGCTCGCCAGTATCTACTGCATTTTCCACTCAAAAGGTATCTTATGATGAAGTCAAGGATTACAAATTCAAATTGTTAAATTAGCAAACAGGAGGAGAATCTAAATCAAGCAATAAATTATTTAATAATTAAAGAGATTAACCAAGTAGCTTTACTCCTGTTGATATCACTTTTGATAAAAATGTCATTAGAGGTCATACTAGCTAATCTAAATAAAGAGGTTCTCTTTCTTCTTTTTCAAGTGCTTTTAATAATAGCATTAATTAAACTAACATTACTCAAAATTAATTGTCTTCTAAAATAACTAATTAAGAAACCAACAGCAATTTTTTAATGTCCAACTCTACAAATGGACTTTCTTCTCCTAAATCTAGCAAAATCTCTCAAAGACCTTACAGTAAAAGCACATAATTTTATTCTAAATCTGCAACTAACAAAGATAGTATAAAATTTGACTTTTCCTCTCTCTAAGTCAAAAAATCTCTATTGCAAATTCCTACTTCACCTTTAAATATTAACATTCAACACTAGGATAACAATTAAAATATAGTTTAAAGCTCAAGTGAATTCCCTAAAGACAAAAGCGATAATAACAAAAGTTATAAAATAAAATTAAACCCTACTCGCAGGTCTAAATCTAATCCACACTCCAGCAATAGCAACGTTGGAGAAATAAATTAATAATAATAATAATAATAATAATAAAAGTTAAATGAAGTTTAAAATATATCAAATAAAAATTCTAATATTTTTGATGTTCTTTATCCTAATATTGTAAATTAAGTCAATAGATAAATTGGGGTGCTCAAAAGCTGTTAATAATTATCTCATGCAGACCCTAAGCTAACTCAAGTAAGAAAGCCTTGTATAAATACATTACACTTCAATACAAGCAAAGAAAGAGAAATTAATTAAAACTTAAATTCTCCGAATGACAAAAAAGTTTAAATAAATTAGACAAAAACTTTAGGAAGATTTTTCACTCCTTAAAAAGCATCTGAAAAATTGATGAAATCTAAAGAAATAGGATTAGATCCTTTAACTTAGTAGTAAGAACAAGAGAAATAAGCTGAAAAGTAAGATATAGAATTGCTCTCTTAGTAGATGTGCATTACTTATAAACATCTTAGATTAGATAAAATGTTTCCAAAAAGTTAGCAAACCAAGAAAGCATAATAGTATTTTAAGGAGTCTGCTAATGAATTTAAAGCAAAAATTAATTTTGACAAAATGCAAATTAAAATAAAAAATTAACCTGTATCATATATCGACTATATAGAACAAAAGTTTATACTAACTCCTCAAAAACATACAGAAGACAACAAAGACAATAAAGACAATAACAATCACTTAGATAATTTTAATTTTATTCAAAAAAACATCTCTTGATTTTTCAAAAATAAACATTTTTTATATAAATTTTTAGTTACATTCATTGATCCATTCATAATTTGTATTATAATTTATAAATTAATGTCAAATAAAGGATATTATTTTACTAATAAATATTTGTGCAATACAAATGAATAAATATAAAAACCTGAATATGTTTTATTTAAATAAATATAAATAAAATTTAATATTTTCTTGTTATAAAAATATCATATTAAAACATCAATTTAAAATGGAAGTTTATTTTTAAACATTTAGTAGTTAAATTTGATTTAATGAAATGAATATTAAACATTCTAGTTAATATAAAGCTGCTAAATTTGATTTAATAAGATGAATTTCAAACTACAATTAAAAATTGTAGTTAAATTTAAAAACAGTTATAGCCAAATTCGATTTAATGAAATGAATTTTAAACTTTAATTAAAAATTTTAGTTAATATAAAACTGCTAAATTTGATTTAATAAGATGAATTTCAAACTGCTATTAAAAATTGTAGCTAAATAGTATCAGAATTTCTTTTTTCTAACTTATCTTGAAGGATAAAAGGCTATACTTGTTAATATGAAATATATATTAAATATTTCAAAGATAAATTAATAGAAAAATATCTACAATCTAAACATATCATCTCTTTTAAAATACAGATAAAATATCAATTAAATTAAATAGATATGACAGAGCATCAGCATAAAACAAATAAATATTTAATGAACAAAAGTTTTATAGCAATTATTAAATATGAATTAATATTTTTTAAAATACTCTTTTTTTAATTATTAAAGAATAAAAATACTCATTTTTGAGTGTTGATTTTTAAATTTTTAATTCATAATTGATATATAAAGCAAATAGGGATAAAGTTTAAAATTTTAATTGCGTTTATTAGTATGAAGTATATTTATTAAAAAAATTAGATCATAACAAAGAATTCAAAAGACGATTAAGAGATGAAATTAAAGAAAAGGAATTACATTTTAAATGAGATAATTAAATTTTTTGATGCAAAGCTATAATTTGATTTAAAAAAATATCTTTGATGATAAATTAATTTATTAATTGATAATCTAAATTTATTATTCTATAACTAAAACCTAATTTATCTTAAAGAAAATTACAATAATTAGCTTTAAATGAATTAAAATATGTGTTTTTATTAAATTAAGTTTTTAATAAACTAAGTTATTTAAAATTATTATGATAGCTCTCATAAATTAATTTAAAGAAAAATAAATATCAAGAGATTTTGATGGTGACTATATATTCTTTTATAAACATCCAAAATAAATGCTTTTATAATTTATTAAAATTTTATATTTTCATGATAATTGATTATTAATAAACTTAGAAGATTATATCAAAAATCAAATATGAGAAAATTTACACTTTGCAAGAGAATTTTTTAATTTTAAAGAATTTCTTATTTGAAGTTTTCTCAAAAAAATTTTTTTTCAACAAAAAGCGATAAAGAATTTGAGGGAATAAATATTATAGACTTATAGAAATAAGGTCAATAAATATCTTAGATTTTTTAGCTAGAATAAAATTAATTGCTAAAAGAAAAAGGAAATGATTATGAAAAGCAAGGATTCGATTATTTGGGAAAAGGATTTAATTAAGAAGCTATTCTTTGTTTCTAGAAAGCTATAGAATTAAATCCTCAGCTTAATCATCTTAAATAATAATTAGGATATTTATGTTTGGAAGTCGATAGACTAGATGAAGCTATCAAATACTTTGAGTAATCATTAGGCTTTTCTTCTGATCCTTATGAAATTTATAATCTCCTAGGAATTATTTATGAAAGAAATAATATGGATGAAAAAGCTGAAGAATACTACAAAAAGTGCTTACAAACAAACGAAAATTATTTAGGGGCATATTTTAACTTAGCTTAAGTTTACTACAAATTAAATAAAATGCAAAACGCTAAACTATGCTTAGAGAAAGCTTCAATCATTTTCCCATCTGAGCCAGAAGTATTTAATAAATTGGGATAATTATGCTAAGAGATGGAAGATTGGTAACAGGCAATAGGATACTTTGAAAAAACAATAGAAATTGATCCTGAGAATATTAATGCACTTTTTGAGTTGGGAGTTACATAATTTTAAATAGAAGAATTAGACGAAGCAATTCATAATTTTAAGAAAACTTTAATGATACAGCCTGACCACTTTAATGCTCTGTTTAAATTAGTAGAAATTTATCATAGTGCTGATTTGATAGAATATGCATAGGAATATCTTGAATAAGCTATTAAAATTCAACCACATAATGTAAAAGCTAATCTGATATTAGCAGGCATTTACTTGGCTCAGAAAATGATATTAGAAGCAAAACAACTTTGTGAATAAGTAATCAAAGTAGATTCAAGGAATGCTGATGCACTCTACTATTTAGGAATTATTTACTAGAAAGAAAATAATATATAAAAAGCTATTAGCATCTTTAAAGAGGTTACATAAATTAATCCCACAAAATATATTGCTTAAATATAATTAGGATAACTTTATCATCAATAAGGAAAGGTAGAAGATGCAATTATAAGTTACAAAAGAATTTTGCAAGTGCAGCCTAATAATTATTTTGCTCTTAATTATTTAAGTTTTCTTCTCTATGAATTAGGCGATTTTAATCAAGCAGAGTTGCTATGTAAAAAAGCTTTAGCAGTAGATCCTAATGCTTATGAGCCATATCATAATTTAGGTTTGATTTATTAAGACAAATTATTGTATGAATAAGCTATCAAATTTTATTAGTCTGCATTAAAATCCAACCCTGATTGCGCTGAAGCCTATAATAATCTAGGATGTATCTATTATGAAAAAGGAAACTTAAAAGAAGCAATAAATTAGTTTGAAGAGGCAATAAAAGCAAATCCTAAATTCGCAGAAGCACACAAAAACCTATCAATCATTTATGAAAATATGGGATTAATAGAAAAATCTTAATAACTCAATGATTTTTAATTTTAAATTTTATAAAATTAAAGTAAAGATTTTCATGTCAAAAATTTTAAATCCTTAAAATTGAAAAATTAAAAATGAAAATATTTATCTTATCTTAAATAAAATAATAACTTAAAATGTATTTATTTTTTATTTTATTTTATTATTTTTTGAATATTTTAAACTCTTTTATAATCTATTTATTTATTTATTCGATTAGTGATAAGTTTGGGATAAATTAATCTAAATTTGTTATTAATGTTTAAAAAGTTTTATAAAGCTTTATTGATAGATATAAATTTTAATTTATCTAAAAAAGCATTTTTTCATTAGGTATGAGCTAATCATTATAATAAAAATGAATGAGATTAATAAATTAAATCTTCTTTAAAAAATATAATTTTAAAATGGAACTATAATTTATATAATTTATGTTATAAAATTATTATCAGATAATTTAATTTAATTATTTTTATTTACTATGGTTCCTCACTCCTTCCCTGTTGTCTTAAAGCTTTTTCTATTTTTACAAAAAAATACTTATTTTAAATTTAAAAAAAAAAAAACTTACAAAAATTAGACCATAATATATAAGAAATTACCTTATTTAAAAAAAATAAATCTAATAAAAAATTATTCATTGAATAAATATCTTAAATAATACAACAAACACAAATATTTTGTGATTAAAGTAAAAAACAAGATATTTTATAAGATATAATATAAATTTATATTATTTTATTAATATAGATGTTTTTATTTACTGATTAATAAATTTTATTCAATTTTAAGTAAAATAAATCAGTATATCAAAATAAAGCTAAGAAGGTAATAACTAAGGCAGCAGAAGCACTAAGTAACCTACTAGAACTTACAATTGATGCATCAAAACCTGAAGAGGAATTGTTATTAGAATTTGAAGAAGAGCACAAAGATTTACTTACATATTCACAAGTAGAGTCATAGTAAAGTGAAGAATTAGTTGTAAAAGTACATGTTATTTAGTTGTTGGTAGTATCTAGACTTGTAGGGTTAACTGTCATGATTTAATTAGAATCATAAGATACACAGATTGTTTTCTGAATTTGAGAAGGATCAACATCATAAGTCATTTAGAAAGTTGATCCAGAACTTGACTACAAATTTCTAAATCTTAAAGAAGTCTTAGCATCAATTGTTGTAAGGCCAGTAGGACAGTTAGAGCAATAAGGGTGGTTTGCTAAATGAGCGACTTGCATAGCAGAGATTGTTGAATCAGTCTAACCTTTTGCATTACCAATACCTAAACTAGATGATGATGACGAAGAAGAAGAAGAACTAAAAGTGGGAGCTTGAGTGCTATCTTATTGAAGAGAAATAGAAGAACCAGCAATTAAATCCTTTAAATTGAATTAAATTTTAAATGCAAAGCCAGGTTTCTACTTTTCTGCAATAATCTAAATTGTACTTGAGCCTAAAATTATTTAATTCTAATCTGTTACTTAATTATTAGCCTGATCAATATTAGTAGAAGCATCTTAAGTAGGAATTTATTTGAGCAAACTAAATACTGAATTCTTCAAACTTGAAACTCCTGATTAGATCAGAGAATTTAGCTAACTGGAATTACTAATAGCTTAACTAATTTATTATTCTAGGTCTTTAGTGATTGATTAAAATAAACCTTTGATAGTTTCTGTTTGAGTAGGAGTTAAAGACGTACTTCCACCTGAAGTTTTTAAGGCATTACTCAATTAATCTTAAATATTGGTAACCTAATCTTAATTTTTATCAATGCATAAAATAGATTTATCAAATTAAACTTAAGGAAACTATCCATCTGGACAATTTTTACATGTATTTGGAGTTGAAGTAGTGTTATCTATTATTTAGCCTATACTATTACAGTATTAAACACAAAATTTCCCATTTGCAGATTAAAATCCTGTACACTTTTTAGGATCTATGCATCCAACACCATCCTAGTAAAGTTAACCTGTTGCACATGAAAGAGCACATTAAGTGGCTGTTGAGGATGGTTTGACTTCTGGAAATTCACAAGTACTGACGCATCTTTTTCCGTTGGCGCTCAGCATTTTAGAGCAGTTTTTTGAATAAACACATGATTTAGCTGTAACATCATATATAAAATCAGTTTAGCAGCTTTTCAAACAGGTTTTTCCATCAGAATCAAGTCCTAGAGGGCAGATTACACAAAAATTTAGGTTTTTGTCTGTTAAAACTCCTTCATTTACTGCGCAACTTTTAGCGCAAGATAATCTATCGGAAGAAATGTAATTAGAACAGCTACTGGGAGAGATACAAGACTTATTCCCGCTTGAGTCTACTTACAGTATAAAGCCAGGTTAGCATTTACTTAAGCATAGGCCATTTATTTTTATACCACCTATTCCATCACATTAAGTTGAATCAAGGCATTATTTATTATCAACAAAATATAATTCTTTAGCACCACAATCAGCAACACAAGATTTACCATCACTAGAAACCTTCTAGAAACAAGGTGTACAGACCTAAGCTTTTTTATTTGGTACTGTTTAAGGAATTTGTCCAGGTGCACATTTTGACAAACAAGATTTTCCATCGATTGATAAGTAACTTGTACAGTTGTCGACATGAGTACAAACATTTTTATCTCCAGCAAAATAATAAACAGGACATGCATCAGTACATTAACTTTAGACTTAGTTATTGGCTAACTGTTGCTGCCAAATAACTTAAGAACTTTTGCAAGAATCAACACAGATAAACTGACCATCAGAATTTCCTTTATTCACATATTATCCAGGATCACAAGTGTTAGAACATTTAGTCAAATCTTTAGAAATATATCCTTTACAATAAACAATTGATGGCAAACAAATTTTTCCAGTAGCATCTACAATATCACAAGTAGTTACACATTTTTGATCTATCAGATTTATGTATTACCCAGCATAACATTGTGCACAAAAATTATAATTTGAACCTTTAACGGGTTAAGGAGAAAATGGGAGAGGGCATTTATCAACACACCAACTTATTTATTTGCTATCACTATGCAAGTTTGTGGTGCATTATTATGCCATAATACAATTTAAAGTTTTAGAGTCAACTACTTATCCAGAATCACATCTTGCTAGACATTAAGTTCCATCATAACTAACATAAGGAGTAGAATCAGGGCAAACTTAACACTAAGTATATTACTAGCCTTTAACTTAAGGTAAAGCAATTTATTTAGGTGGACATTTTACAGCGCAAGTTTACATATCAGCTCCAAGATAAAGTGCGCAATTAGTATTATTTCCAGAATTTGAATTAGTATTAGTATTAATCAAGCTTGAACAATTTCCTAATATCTTACAGCTAACGCAGATTTTAGGGTCAATTGCAGTCTTATCAAGAATATATAAATATGGACAAGTATTTGTGCAAAGTTATCTGTCTCTAATGTAGACTCCTTTGCACTATAGAGGTGAGTTTAAGCACATATTAGTATTTGTGTCTGTGATAAGGTCTGGAGGGCAATATTGATAACAATTACCTTAGGAATCTTAGTAAGGGCAAGGAGAACACAATTAATAGTTCTTACCAGGAGCAGGTTAAGCCTTAAAGGGTGTAGGACAGGAGGGGAGACATATATTTTTCAGTTAATTATAGAACTATTTGCAATAGCTATCATCTGAAAAGCAAGTTTAAGTCACAACATCTCCCACTTTAGGATAAAGACACTTTTATACGCATGAGTTATCAGAAGGGTCGGTAAAGTAATTGCAAGTATCTGCAGAAACAATAGAAGATCCTGCAAACAATATGAGTAGCAGAGATAATACTCTTAGATGTTTCATTCTATCTTATTTTTGAGTCATTTTATATTTTTTTGTTTTTTTTAATTAGTAATTATAATCTTAATACAAAAATCCCTCCTTATTTATAGTGTTTATTTAATCCTATTGTTTATTAATGAATGTTACAATTAATGTAATTTAGAATTAGATTGATTAACTGTGTTTGTATCCAAGATAAAACTAATACTTTTGATCTTAAATATTAACTAAATTACAAACAAAATTTGAGAATAGGCTATTTAATATTTCCTCCAACCCATTAAATCTAATTGATTATAAAATAATTAATTTGCCTGAATTTTTAATTTCCAAAGTTCATCTCGAAATTTAAGCTTGAATTAATTTTTTCTAAAGTTCTTTTTAACATATTTAATTAAATTCGAAACAACTAGTGCAGCCTTAACAGATTCTTTACCACAAAAATATAAATAATGCAAACTCTATATATAAATTTAATCATATTAAAATACTTATTCTTTCCTAAATGCTGCACATTACTTATCAATAAATACATTTTATTTCAGTCAAACTTTTATTTTTATTATTGAGACTTTGTCTTTTAAGCCTTTTAAAATTAACTTATTTGTGTATCTTTAAATTTCTTTATTTAATAAAATGTAGACTCCCTAATCTGATTAAGTTAAAAAAAATTTTATATGCGCATTAAATTAGTACTTTTAGTAATCACACTTTTATTTTTTTAACTTACAAAATCAACGAAGGGTAAATATTGTCTGATTACTTTTTGAAAAACTTTTAATTAAATCCTAAGAGGCTAAAATCAAAATATCTTCCTAATAGATTGTATGGAGTTAACTAATTAATAGCTTAATTCAATACTCTTTTATTATTATTTTTTGTATTTTTTGAACATATTTTAAACAAAAAATAAATAGCTCTCAATAAGAAAAAAGAAAAATCATATTTAATTTAAAATCAACTTACTTGACATATTTTAAATGAATTTAGTACAGCATGAATTTTTAATTGTTTTTAAAAATAAAATGAGAAAGTAAAAATATTTTCTACCAAAATATAAATAGATAGATAATATGATCCCAATTTTGGATGATAAATAACTTAGAACTTATTTCAGCATTTTAATTGTTTAAAATTTTTTTGTCTTTTTTTTACATTACTTTAAATAATACAAAAAATGAATAAAAATAATAAGTAAAAAGTGTAAAAGTTCAAAAAAGCTAAATTTTGTTACATTTGCAATATCTTTAATTTGATTTTTACCATAATTAAATTTTTCCTCTAATTAGGCTTTCTTTTTCTCGAAGATAAAAATACCAGAGTTTTTATTAAAAATAAGACAATCCAGGCTTCAAATGAATTTTAACGCGCGAATTTAATTAAACTATGGTAATTATTTATTGTATTTTTATTTGTCTATCTTTTGATTTTAATTATAAGTTATTCATAAGCATTCATCAGTATGCTTTACTAATTAAATATCATTTATTATTTTAGTGAAATTAATTTATCTTCTTATCTTTCTTAATTCCATCAAATATTTGTAATTCTTTATAGTAAATTTATCTATTTATATTTTTCTTTCCTTCTACAAAATTTAAATTGGTCGAATTTAAGATTTATTTACTATTTTATTTAAAAATTCTTAAATTAAACAAAATTAACTTATTAAATGCTTTCTATAAAAGATTTTTATATTTTAAGTAAAATTTTATTTGTTTTTATTCACATAAAAAGTTATCTAATCATTCAAATTTTAATATAAACTTCAGAAAATACTTTGCCTATTCTTTTAAAAAAAAGTAAAAACATTTAAACTGTTTTAGTAATAAAACCGATATGTTTTAAAATGAGATAATTTATAGTAAAATTTTCATTATTTTTGATATGGTTCTTTTTATCATAGTAAATCAATGAATAATTTAATTAAAAAAGATTAGAAACAATAATTTCTAAAAGTACATATTATTTAAAAGCAGAAATTCATTTTTAACTATTTATTTTTTTTGTAAAAAGTAAGAAATTTAAAGAAATAAACTAGCCATTTTAAGTCATTAATCTAATTTAAAGATATAAGAGTTTATTAAAATAAGGAATACACATTTAATTACCATAAATCTTCATTCATTGAGGTTAAAAATTTATCCTAAATAAATGAAAATTTTCAGTCTGTATATATTTATTTATGAATTGACAGTAAATTGTAAGCTTTTAACTCATAATAAATTTAAATTTTTAGAATTATGTATAATTAATAATTTTAAATTAGATTTTCTTTTGTAATTAATAATTGATTTTCTATTTTCAATTTAATTACCTAAAATATTAATTTATCCCAAAAATTTGATAAAATTAAAAAAGATTTTTAGCTTTAATTTGAGATTTACTTTTCCAATCTATTAATTTATGTAAGTAAATAATAAATTAATTAGTCAATAATTTATGCTTATAGGTTCCTGTTTGATAATGAATTTAGTCTTTTAAATTTTATGGAAAAAATCAAATAATTCTTTGATTATGCTAAACGAATTTATAAAATATTTTTTAGTAATTCATAAATTTATTTATTTAATGCACGCACATATATTTATTTTGCGAGTTATAAAAAGTATGATATATTTATTATAAACTTATTTTATATTAGTTAAGATTAGCTAAAAATAGAATTCATCATATAATCAAAAAATTGCAAGTACTATAATTCCTAAAGCAGCACTAATGCTCAGTAACTTACCAGAACTTGGGGTAACTGATGCATTAAATCCTGAGTTATTATTGTTTGAATTTGATGAGGAACACAATGATTAGCTTACGTACTAACAAGTGGAATCGTAGTAGAGAGAAGAATTAGAAGTAAAAGTGCAAGTTATTTAATTATTGACAGTATCTATACTTGTAGGATTTACTGTCATGTTGTTATTTGAATCATAAGATACGCAAATTGTTTTCTGAATTTGAGAAGGGTCTACATTATAAGTTAGCTAGAAAGTCTAACCAGTACTTGCTTACAAATTTCTTAATCTTCCAGATGTCTAAGTATCAATACTAGTAAGACCAGTAGGACAAGTAGAGCAGTTAGGGTTAGTAGATAAATAAGTTACTTGCATAGCTGTAATTGTCGAATCAGTTTAGCCTGTAGCATCACCAATACTCTAACCTGAGCTAGAACTATTTACAGAGCTGGAAGATGATGATGACGAAGAAGAAGAAGAAGTTGAGGTAGTACTTGAAGTAGAACTAAGAGTAGGAGCTTAGGTGCTATCTTGTTAAAGAGATGTTGAAAAACTAGCAATTAAATCCTTTAAATTGAATTTAAGTTTGAATGCGAAACCAGGTTTCTACTTTTCTGCTATGATTTAAACTGTTGAAGAGCCTAAAACGATTGAATTCTAATCTTAAACATTATTATTATTATGATCAATGTTAGTAGAAGCATCATAAGGATTAACTTATTTTAACACATTAAATATAGTAGTTTTCAAATTGGAAACTCCAGACTGGATAATAGACTGTAATTAATCTGGAGTAACAGAGGAGCTGCTTTATGCTTAAGTTATTGATGATTCAAAATCCTTTGTGACTTATTAAAGTATATCTTTAACAGCATCTTTTTGACTTGGTGTTAAAGTAGAGCCTCCACTTGAATTCAAGACACCACTCAACTAGTCTTAAATGTTGGAAATTGGATTTGAATCCTTATCAACGCATTATATTGAATTATCAGATTAAATTTAAGGATATTACCCATCTGGGCATTTTTGGCATGTCTTGGGAGTAGAAGTACTGCTTCCTACAATTTAACGTATGCTATTACAGTTAGAAACACAGAATTGACCGTTGGCTGATTAATATCCTGTACAACTACTAGGATCTATGCATCCAACTCCATCCTAATAGAGTTATCCACTATTGCATTTGTAAGAACATTAAGTAGCTGTTGAAGAAGGCTTTACTTCTGGGAATTCACAAGCAGCTACACATCTTTTTCCATTAGCACTCAAAATACCTGAGCAACTTGAAGAATTAATGCAAGATTTTGAAGAGACATCATAGATTTAGCCAGATTAACAGCTAGTTAAGCAGCTTTTTCCATCAGAAGCAAGACCAAGAGGGCAGATTACACATACTTTTAAATTGTTAGCTGTGAGAACTCCTTCTTTAGAGGCACAGCTTGTAACGCAGGATTTTCTATCTGAGGAAATGTAATTAGGACAGGCATTCATTAAGACACATGATTTATTATTGCTTGAATCTACTTAAAGTAAATAACCTGGCTAGCACTTTGATAAGCATAAACCATTTTATTATATTCCAGTGCATTAACTAGAAGAAATACATTTCTTTTGTTCAACATCAAATAATTCTCCTGTAGCGCAGCTAGCGTTGCAAGATTTACCATCAGAAGATAGTTTCTAGAAGCAAGGCATACAGACCTAAATTTTTTTATTTGGTACTGTTTGAGGGAATTATCCAGCAGGACATGAAGTCAAGCAATTTTTTCCATCCATCGATAAATAATTTGAACAGTTTGTAACAGAAGTGCAAATATTGTTTTATCCTGGATATTAAAATTGAGGACATTTGTCGACACATAAATTTAAGGTTTAATTCTTATTATCCTATTTCTGTAGAATGTATTAAGAATCTTAACATTTAGCAACACAGTTAAATTGACCTTCAATTAAACCTTATGAAATATATTAACCAGAGCTACAACTTGCCTAACATTTAGTCTAATCTACAGAAATATATCCTATGCAATGCTATATATCAGGCAAACAGATTTTTCCTGTAGGGTCTAAGATATCACATGAGCTTACACATTTTCCAGTTGCAATACTCAAATATTATCCAGTTGGACAAGCTTAGCAATTAGTGTAACTTTGATTGCTAACAGAGACAGATTATAGTTAAGGAGGACATTTATCAACACACCAAGAGACGTTTTTATCATCAGTAAAGATACTATTTGTGCATTAAGCTTATTAGATACAGTTTAATGTTTTCATATTAATAACTTAACCTGCAGCGCATTAACTAACACATGTAGATCCATCATAACTGACAAAAAGAGTTGTAGCAGGACAAAGCTAGCATTGAATATAAGACTAACCTTAAACTTAGGCCAAAGCAATTTATTGTGGAGGACATTATGATCCACATCCTTGCATATCAGCTGCGAGATAAAGAGCACAGTTACTATTAATAGGAATATTTCCGCCAGTATTTCCATTATTTCCACTTGAATTACCGTTATTTCCATTATTTCCACTTGCATTTCCATTTTGGTTAGGGCAAGTTCCATTTAATTTACAGTTTATACAAACGCTAGGTGTTTAAGTCTTATCAGCAGTAAAATTAGGTGGACAATTACTTACACAAGATTGCATTTCTTTAATATAGAATCCTTAACATTAAGAGGGTGAGCTCAAACATTTTTAAGAAGTTAAATCAGTGATAAGGCCTGGAGGGCAATTTTCATAACAGTTTCCTTATGAATCTTAGAAAATGCAAGGAACACAAATTTAATATTTCTTATCAGTAACGGCTTAAGCTTTAAATAACTTAGGGCATTAAGGAACACAAACATTAGGTTCTTTAAGGTAATATGTCTTACATTAACTGTCATCAGCTAAGCATGATTTAGTAGCAGCATCTCCAATTTTAGGATAAAGGCACTTTTAAACACAAGAACCATCACTATCCAAAAAGAAGTTGCAAGTTGATGCAGTAGCAGTTGGAATGGATCCAGCTAGCAATATTATCAGCAGAGATAATGCTATGAGATATTTCATTTATCAATTAATTTTATTCTTAACTATTTTAAATTTTTTATATATTAATGATTATAATCTAAAATCCCCATTTACATATATATATATGCAATTTTTGATCATTAAACTTTATTTGTAATTAAATGAAAGTTTTATATGCAAAGATTACACTTTTCGAGCTTTAATAATGAGATAATTAGATTTTGGATATTAAAATTTAAAAGATATTGATTGACTGTTAAAAATTGAGAGCCAACGCAGCTGATTTAATTTTTCTCAAAATATTGATTAATATAAAAAATCACCTGAAAATAAAAAACAAAACAAAGTTCAAATCGAAATATTAGCTTGAATTTTTTTTTTTGAAATCGCTTTTCTAATTTAATTAAATTCGATTAAAAGGAGGTGTTTTTTTCACAAATTTTCTCACCAATCAAAATAAAGGTTATTAGACAATATCGATTATTTAGCTACGCAAATAAATGTGAGAAAGATTTGTCTTTTTGAGATAGATTTAATTAAATTTTAGTTCAAATTAATCATCATATTTTAAATTTTAAATTAAATAGATAGGGTTTCCTTGAAATATATTTGATTTTTATTGCAAAATATTTACTTAATAATATTTTATTGGAAATCACTTAAATATCCTTTCTTAAACTCCTTAGCTTTAATCGAATTTATAACACCTTATCTAAATTAAGAGAAATCATCTTTACCTCAATTAATTAAATTTTTACCTTACAATTAAACAAAGATATATAACATTAGATTACAATTTGAGGAAAATTTTTTTCACCTCAAATCATCAGAAGCAAATATAAGTTCCTTTCTTCTAAAATATACAATTAAGAGAGTAATAAAGAAAATGAGAAAGAAATAAGATAAATAAAAACAATATATGAAATTATTTATTTTTATTTTTTATCATAATTTTATTTTAACAAGAATTTTGTTTGTTGAAAAATACATTTTATTTTTAAATTAATCAAAAAAAAAAAAAAAATTGAAAATTTAGAGTGAAAAATACATTAAAATCTTTAAATCACTCGATGATTATAACGCATTTGAACAAATATTTGTTAGTTTTAAATAATATATGTAATGGAATTAAAAGAATAAAATAAATATATTTTTTAATATAAAATTTTACTTATTTATTTAAAAAACATAGATTATAAAATAAATTTCAAGATTTTTAATAATAAAATGCTTTTAAATTGTAATTTTAGATTTAGTATTAGCACTGTTTTGTTATCCTTTAAGCCTATTTTATTTTTTGATTGAATACTATTTCCCTTTTCTACATACAACTTTTGAAACAAGAATGAAACCAATATTGATTAAAAAGTGTAAATTTGCATAATAAAGTTAATGAAAGTTACATATCCCAAATTTTTTGATGGTGTTTTGAGAGAAGCATTTTATCTCCTGAATTAATTAAATATTTTGTTCTAAATAGAAAAAAATACCAGAATTTTTATTAAAGTATTGATGAGTTTCAACAGAGTTCAAACGCATATATAATAAATTCAGGATAATATTTATATTTATTTTTTTTGTCTATTTTTATTATTTTTTAAATTTCGAAATATTTTTAAGCATCTAACAGAATATTCATTTTATCAAATATATTTTATATAATTTTAAATTGTTTTTATTTTTAATTTAGGTCTTTGATCTGTTAAACAACATTGAAAATTTCAATAATACTATTTATCTAATTCCTATATTAAAAGTAAATTGAAATTAAATTACATTATTAAGTCCAATCATACTTTTTTAATATATAAAATAATAAATAAGATATTTTGAGTAAAATAACTATTAAAATTATATCAAAATATTCTCGTTTGATTAATTTATTTTTTTGATAAATTAATTAGATATTATAAACACAAAAACAACCAAGTTAATTTATTCATCATATCTGTAACGCATTCATTATTAACTTAGATTTTTTATTTATAGTAAACATAAATTGACTAAATTTTATGATTTATTTTTTGTGTTCTAATATAAATTTAATATAAATAAATTATCAAGAATTAAGTGTAAAATAGCTTTGATTAATAATGTCTAACTAAATTTTTAATTTGTTAGATAAATTTATGATTAATTTTAAAATTATAATAAAATAATTAATTAAAATTCAAAAAAAATCTTAGATAAAAAAAATATGTGAATTTTATAAATTTATTTTTGCTAATATATTTATTTATATATATATATGTAATTTATACTTTCTAAACTGCTTAGATTATTAATTAGGCACTTACTTTTATATTATAGAATACCTAATCTTTTTGTTGAGTATATAATTATTTCTTTTATCATTATTATTTCATAGCAAATAATGAAGAACTTGAATTTTCTTTATATAGCATTTATGTACTTAATAATACATTTGAATTTTTATTGATATATAAGATTCTATCAGATATATATTACAAAAATCATTACAAAGGCTAATGATATGCTCAACAGATTACTGTTAGTACTTACTTGATCATTAAAGCTTGATTTTTGTGAGGAACACAACTTCTTACTAATGTATTAGCAGTTAGAGTCATAGTAAAGTGAAGAATTGTTAGTAAAAGTACATGTTATTTGGTTTTAAGCAATATTTATGCTTGTTGGGTTTACAGTCATAACGTTATTTGAATCATAAGAAACACATATTGTCTTTGTAATTTAAGAAGGATTAACATTGTATGTCAATTAGTATGTTTATCCAGATTGAGACTACAAGTTTCTAAATCTTCCTCCAGAAGTTTTGGCATCGACAGTAGTCAAACCAGTAGGACAGCTTAGACAATAAGGGTTAACTGCTAAATTAGTAATTTGCATTGCAGTGATTTTAGAATTTGTCTA